CTCTCTCTCTCTCTCTCCCTCCCTGCAGTGCTGTGCAGTGCATGATTTCTACATATTGCTACAGTGTTTCGCATCATAACCAATGTGGAGATGCGCTTGCGAGACAAGGACGTCTGCCTTTGTCTGCTCCAAACGACCGTGGGATCGCTCACACGTTGCACCGCGAAGATGGAGCCGCATTTTTATCGTCGCTGACGTGGTACTGTGCGTTCACCACACTGCACATGTTCACATTCATGTGATTTCATGCAGCGACAGCTGTGCCGCGTGCAGCATTGAATTGACATCGGCTTTTGGGGTCCCTATTGTAAGAGACGCCCCCCCCGAAGAAGGGGATCCAGATTACGAGTGCTATTCTGTTGCCTTTGTGTGTGTCTTCGAGTTAGGGGCAGCCAGTCGTTGCATCGCATTTCGTAGCTGCAGGCGGCATGCGGGACCTCTTCGCACCAGTGCGCGCTGAATGCCCAGGGTGGTGGAAAGTGGGGTCTGGCAGCGGACGCATGCAGGCAGGCGATAATTTCATTGAAGCCCGATATGCGGGAACCCAATGCAAGGAAGGCATCTCTTGAATAATTAGATTTTGGCCTCGGGCTCACACTCCGACGGACCTGCAGGAAGGCATCTGATGAAGGCTTCTTGTGAAGCTAAAGCAATTCGGTTTGACGCGCCTTCTGCAGAGAACTGCGTTCAAGGGCTTCTGTGAAATCACACGAGTGCTTGCATCAAGACCAAGCTCGAGGTAAATTTCAGCCGCGGATCGCAGTGCAAGCTGAGTCCAGCTGAAATTCAAAGCCCTCTTCGCATGGCCCAGGTCGTCCCGCCTGAGGACTCAGAGCCGGGCTCCGACTTGCTTGCAGCGGCACACAGCGCGGCCGATGCGGCCAGAGGGGAAGGGCTGAAGGGAACTAGGAAGACATGGATAATCGATAACGCACGAGCCAACACATCGGCGTTGTCCACTCCGACTTTCACGTCAACAAAAACCCGAATGAAAGCACACGACTTGGATAAGCTGGACACACAGTGCATGAATGTTGAAAGAGCGAAAGAGCAAACAGTTTAATTGCTTCTAAACAAGCACTTTCATACCGGATGCAGTGCAGGTGTCTTCTGGTGCAGCTAGCAGCGCAGTGTCACTTGTCGGCACTAGCCCAGCAATCTTCTTGATTTTCACAGATGTTTTGCAGAAGCGGCAAGCCAATGACTGTACCAGGACTCCCGGCCATTTGGGAGACCTTTTTGTGGCCAACAAGGTGACGAGATGTGCATGGCATAAATCGTGCCTGCTTGTGGGATGCTTTACGTGCATACGAGCGGTCAGGACTGATGACTACTGATTCGTGCATAACTCTGGCAGTTCGCAAGCCACGAGATTTCGAGAGCTCGTCAGTGGCTATACTGCATTCGTTCAGACATGTTCAGACATGAAAGGCATCTGGGCAAGTCAAAGAGCCGGTGGCCCCGCCGAAGCCCAGCGAGGCACTTGCGCAACATTGATGCAGTTGCCCTGCTGCCATCGCTTTATCGCTAGTCCTGAGTTAACCCCCTGGGCTAGCGCGCTGTCATACCATCTGGGGAAGGCGGCACCGGTGAGAAGCGCCGTGTGCCTCCCTCTCCCCCAAGCAAAGTTCTGCTGGCTTGGTCTTGGATGCCTGCATCGGAAACACAGGGACCTGCAGTGTCGCCTCCCAGTTGGCGGTTTTTGCCACGGAGCAGTGCATCCAATCGTGCCCATGCCAAGTGCAGGCTACCTGGCAAACTGAGCATTGAAGCAAAGTTTCCCTGTGTTGCAAAGTGGAACTAGCTTCTGTTCCACACTTGCCAGTCCTCCGCCCGGCCGTGCGAAGAATTAAGTAACTAATTTTTTCATTCACTAATCAATTAAGTAATTAAATAATGAAGTAATCAATTAGTTAATTAATTGGTTAATTAGTTAGTTAATGAATGAATTACTGAAGTGATATATACATTGATAAATTAATTCATGAACTAATTAATGAATGAAGTCATGAATTAACTAGCTGATTGATTCATGAATTAATGAACGAGTGAGTGAATGAGCGAATGCATGAATGAATTAATGAATTAATTAATTGATTCATTCATTCATTCATTCATTCATTCATTGATTCATTCATTCATTAACTATCTATCTATCTATCTATCTATATCTATCTATCTATATCTATCTATCTATCTATCTATATATATATATAAATATATATATTTATTTATTTATTATTTCTATACAAATGTCTATACATATATTTGACATGACATGTATAGATAGACCGATAGATAGATAGATAGATAGATAGACAGACGGATAGATGAATAGATAGATGTGATACCCCCTAGCGCAGCGGGTAGGAGCGCAGTGAAGAGTAGCTTAGCACGCGCCTTTTTCAGTGACTCCACGAAAAGTGTTGGCTCAAACACTTCCAGTTCTACGGCGACAGACCCGCAGAGGCCTGGGCGTCGTACGGGATCGCGGTCGGCGACTACATGAGTTCGCGGCATGCGACACTTCCCACACCAAGCAAGGCACCGTCCTCTGCAAGATCGACAAGATCGATGAGAAGAACACGAACAGGCAGTGGGTCGAGGAGACCTTTTGGCCGCCTCGGACGAGCACTTGCTATGTGGTTGGACCATAGACGCGGCACGGATGAGGGATGGCAGGTCGAGCTTCACTCGTGCATGGGAGTTGCTCGGGACTGCAAGCAAACAAACAGCAAGCGCAAGAACCAGGTCAAGGAAGAGGTCGCGCTCCACTCCCCGCGGGGCGGAAGTTAAGGGACCTGCAGGCTGGGTGTCGAGGAGGCCCGCTTGCCCGCGAGTCCGAGCACAACCCTGCACTTAGTTAGAACCCGTCAAGAGGGAGATCCAGAAGGAAAGAAGCGTGCCATATCAGCAGGCGCCGTGACCCACGGAACAGGACACCGACCCTCGCGAGATGAAGACTCTGCCCGCCGCCCGCAGCATGATGCCGCCACCCTCGCCCAGAATTTGAGCGCTAGAGCTTCGCAGAGCTATGTGCGACCCCGAGCTCCTCGAGAAAGAGGGTCCAGCGTTCCAAAGCGGAGGACAGAAGGAGGCAAGGAGATCGAGAGCTTCCCGACTGCTTCTAGGGAGGCACAACCTCGGTTCACCTGCCATGACGCATGGGAGGATGCAGGCAATGCAGGAGGCCCACTTGATAATTATGAGGCCCGATGGAGCCAGAACACCCGGCGTTTTGGTTCTCGGGCCTGATGGGGCCATGACCGGGCCGAGGGTTTCACAAACCTCCGCGGGATGACGCCGTCACCCTGAGGCATGAGGAGTGCTATGGGCTATGAGAAAGCGGACAATCAAAGGACAGGACTCTTGTGTGGAGGCGGCATGCGGCGGCAGGTTTGCTTCACTTGAGGACCTTTGCGACTGTCTCCTACTTGTGGATGACCCCTGAGATGAAGGCCTTCTACGACTGTGCGGAGGTGAGCTGAGCAACCCGGAGAATGGGAACGAGGACCCGTGCGTCGACGGAACATCCTTTCGTACGAGTCAAAGGAACCCCAGCCACCAGGTCTTAACCAGCACGACGGAACTCAAGCGGCGTGCCCGCAACCCTGATGAGCACCGCCGCCTTTTATTTTGTTCTGAAGGGCGGTCATCCTCCAAGCGCCTCAACAGAGCCTGCCGCCGCAACCACCGCTGCATACCACCGTCGCCCTTTCGTCCGGAATGATCCCCACAACCCTGTGGACTATTAGCAAGTGGAGTTTCTCTGATGGCGCTTCACAGAAATTTGAGCCGGTCTGCTCGCTTGCGGTTCTTGGGGTTCTAATGGGACGAGACACTCTTACGGGCGGGCGGTTGCGGCCTTCTTTGTTTACTTGTGCGCCTTACGGGGCAGACTCCCAGATACGATGGGTGAGCTAGACGATGAGGTCACGGAGTACATTAGCTGCCTCTACCAGGCGGTCAGGAGCGTGACGGCATTTCTGTTGTCAGGGTGCCGGCCACACCTCCAAACCGCGCAGACTTGGCCCTCGTAGTCCTCCTTGGTTTCGCGTTGTTTCTCCGGACCATGGAGCTGCCGTCCCTTCAACAAAGCCATGTGCGGTTGTTCGCAGAACAAGGGGCAGTGGTGATTGCCATTGTTGACAGCGACACCGCGAGAGGATTGCAGCAATCGCTTTTAGTAAACGAACCCAAGCTGGCTACTGTTGCCCGAGCAGTCGCAGTTATGCTGCATTGCCCATGGTCTGGTTCGAGCTGTGGCCGTACTGTCTTCGCGGCGGTGGCGCTACCTACTTGTTGACAGAAAACCCAGTACTGGTTGGGCAGGACAGTAATCCAAAAGGCTGGAAAGACCTGGCGACTGCCAGGATTTACTTTCACGACCCTCGAGCTACGCCGGTTGAACTATCCAGTACCTCCTTGCAAGCTCGTGCTGCCTCGTTTTGGCGAGTGGTTACGCCAGGTTGAGTTCTCTTTGGGAGTTGGCAGCTCGTCGGTACCTGCCGTAAGCGCAGGCGCTGCTTGTCCCTCTCACAAAAGTGGCCGCCTGTACGGGTGAAGCGCTTCTGAGCTGTGCTTTGATTTGGGTCATGGCCCGCGTGACTAGGCGCAGTGCCAACTCTGTCCTTTTCCAGCTTCTCCGGAAAAGAGTTGTGCCGAGAAAACAAATGCACATATATGATCATATATGTATGTATATATATATGTGTATATATATATACACACACACATTTTTACATGACGAGCTGTGTGCCACCGATGACCAGGGGTCAGAGTCCGGCAGCGACCTTTTCGGTTTGGCCAAGGGCGTGGCTGCGGAGGCAAAGCGCGTTAAACTTCGAGGTGTGAAGGCTTCGGACCGTGACTGTATGAAGACGTGAGCTAGCACCGTAAGATTTGTAGTAGTTCGAAGTTTCCCGGAAGCGTTTTTGAACAGCTGGGTTGGTTTCATTTCCATGTCGATCTCCCCATTCTGCCGTGAAGGTTTCTAAATCCGGCGTTGAGTCGGTGTCTGCGGGCCGCGGTGCAGGACCAATTTTCACAAGCTGTGCATTTGCGGCTGTTGTTTTCAATGGGTGAGCCATGGTGGGCCCAATGCACTCTAACACATGGCAATATTGAACTCGCATGTGGGAATGAGCCAGTCAGGTCAAAACACCTGGACCTAGACAATGCTTTTACTGGTCAAAGCTGTACTTTGCATGGATGCGGATAACACGCATACGAAGATCCTGTCCTAATTGTTGCTGTGGGGCATTCGAATGTCCATGAAGGCGGTGTGCGTGACCTCTTCGCGCCGGTGCGCGTTGTTTACCCAGACTCGCAGCAGCCAATTCGATCAGGAAAGAGTTGCATCGTACCCCGTGAGCAGTTGGAGATGCGCAGTAGTATCGCAACGACCCAGGTCCCGGCTGCGCCCGCCGAAGACTCGGAGGCTGGCTCGGACCTTCTGGCCGCAGCGCGGACTGCAGCCGACGCGGCCCGCGGGCCCAGGGACCAGGGATCATTGGGCTGAAATGGGCTGAAATTTGATATGATTTGAGAATATTTGAGATGCATTCCCAAACGCTGCGAACCAGTAGTGCATCAGTGCTCGGGTGGTCGTGTTGCCATGGGCTTCCTGCATTCTGCATTGCAGGTCTCGTCTGGAGTCGCCAGCAGTGCAGTCTCCGCGGCGTGGCTGGGCAGCAGCCAAGCAATGCTCCGACCGAAGCCCCCTTCACTGCGGCGCGCCAGGAACGGTCGCCTTGGCGACCTCTTCGCCCCTAGCCAGGCCATTGCTGAAAGGCTTCACATCGAATAGTCCGGTGATGAAGTGATTGCAGTAACAGTTACTTGTTTAGGGACCCCAGCCAGGACCAGCATGTCAATGTCGGTCGTGCAAGCGATGGCCACACACCCCAGTTCATGAATAGCTGCTACTGGCACAAATAACAAGACATCACCATGGCACTCATATCACTCTGTGCCAGAGCCCAGCGGCTGCAGGCGTCGAGAGCAAAGGCCCCAGCGGTCCCCCCGAAGCCCAGCGAGGCAATGGCTCGCATGCCGTTGTTGTGCCTAGCTTCGCTGGGCGTACTTTTTCCGTCCTTCAGGGCTCTGAATCCGGCAGCGACCTCCTGGGCTTTGCCAAGGGTGCTGCTGCGGAGGTCCTTTCTGAACTGCCTCATTGCTTGAATTTGTCGGCAACATGGTAGGATGATCGAATGTGGTCTGATGCCCGGAAGACATGGATGTCGGGTTGATGAGGCTGTTCATAAATCATGAGACATGGCAGGTCTCGCGTTCTGGTGTCCAGTCGGCAACATCCGGGCTCGGTGGAGGTCTCTCTCTCTCTCTCTCTCTCTCTCTCTCTCTCTCTCTGTGGTGTGATTTCCTGGTGCATCCGGGTGTGTGCGCCTTCGGTTTGACAGCCCTTGCATTGGAGGTGGCATGCGCCACTTGTTTGTGCCACCGGCGCGATCGCGGGCTGCAGCCTGAGGGCGAATCCCCCCGCATACTAGGTTGTGGAGACTGGAGGAATCTAGAGGGCACCGAATCCGAAGGATGTCAAATGATGTCAACTCCATTTTTGGGGCAAACGCGGAGAGAGGTCACCACGCCGCCCGCCGAAGACTCGGAGGCTGGCTCGGACCTTCTGGCCGCAGCGCGGACTGCAGCCGACGCGGCCCGCGGGCCCAGGGACCAGGGATCATTGGGCTGAAATGGGCTGAAATTTGATATGATTTGAGAATATTTGAGATGCATTCCCAAACGCTGCGAACCAGTAGTGCATCAGTGCTCGGGTGGTCGTGTTGCCATGGGCTTCCTGCATTCTGCATTGCAGGTCTCGTCTGGAGTCGCCAGCAGTGCAGTCTCCGCGGCGTGGCTGGGCAGCAGCCAAGCAATGCTCCGTCCGAAGCCCCCTTCACTGCGGCGCGCCAGGAACGGTCGGCTTGGCGACCTCTTCGCCCCTAGCCAGGCCATTGCTGAAAGGCTTCACGTCGAATAGTCCGGTGATGAAGTGATTGCAGTAACAGTTACTTGTTTAGGGACCAAGATGCAGGGAACTGACTTCCATGGCGAGGCGAGTGTGCGGCGAGGCCGGGATGTTGAGGCCGCGCCGCCTCGAAGGCGTGATATTGAGGCAGCTGGCCAACACCAAAGCGCACCACCAAAACACCAGCCACCTTGGGCCCAAGCCCTCGGCGATGGAGCCGAAACTGAAAGCGCTCGCGCTCTGCCGCCCGTGCCCTCTCCGCCACGTCTCCGAGAGCAGCCACCCCAACCCCCCGACCCGCCGCCTTTGCCGAATCGGACCTTTCTAACGGATCCGAACGAGGAGGGAGACGCAGTGTGAGTCTCAGCTTTGCGCCATCCCACTCCAAGAGTTTGCGAGAGAGCCGTCCGCGTGTCAGGGAACAGAGTCCGGCGAGCTCGTGATGGCCTGGGCTTCCAAGTGCTGCGAATGTCATGTCACTGCTGACCTCCAGATATCTCCAGACCCGAAGCATATGCGACACTCACTACATTGTCCTCCTCCCGCGATTTGTCGGCCCAAATTCTCGCAAACCAAGGGTTGGCGCTATGGTTATAGGGGCACGTGCAAGAGTCTAGTTGTTTATGTAGTCTAGCTGCTGTCGAATTCCGGTCGCCGACCATGGGGTGTGCAGCCAGCGTTTCCGACGGTTGCTCGCCTGTGCAGAACATGTTCTTCCTGCCATGTGATGCCACCCTAGCCGACTCTAGCCACCCTGCTAATGCTTTCGCGCCGGCAGGTCGTAACTTGACCGAGGCAGTGCTCAAGCTTTGCGACATGATTGAAAGAGAGCAGCGAAGCGAGAGCGGACTGCCTTGAGGACTTTCGCCAGCGAAGCCTGCAGCGCGCCTGCAGCGACAGAAAGCTGACATTGGTTGTAGCTTTCGAAGGCAGTGCGCGGGCCGCGTCTTCACCAACTGCCGCCGCAGATTTGAAAGTCCTTATTCCCGTCCCCAGTCTTTGCAACCCTGCAGGGTGGTTCCCAGCCGTATCGATGACGACATGGATGGCACGGCTCGGAACCAGTTCTGATCTTAGCTGGGCAGCATGCCACGAAACGGCAGATGCGACTATGGCATAGCGTGTCATGAAATCCTGAACCCTCCCTCTGCTCGCTCGCTCGCTCGCTCGCTCGCTCTCTCTCCCTCTCTCTCTCTCTCTCTCTCTCTCTCTCTCTCTCTCTGTCTCTCTCTCTCTCAGCCAGCTCAGCTCAGTGCATATCGTGGTCGGAATGTACAGAGTTGCAGCTCCAGCAGTACAGATTAAGATGGCCTTAAGGCCAACTGCCCCAACTTCCAGACAACAGCGGATGGTGTCCTGTCCACAGGGACTCCAGATATCTGGAGTGAGGCGCTTGCAGCTTCCGTCGCGGATGGTTGACCCTGTTTGCGGATCTCGTCCGGTGCTTTACACAGAAGTTGCAGGCTCTAAGAGTGTGGTTTCATTAACCTTCGAAGTCTGGAAGGTAAGTGGTAACTCATGTCAGCTGCTGTCAAGCATTAGGGTATTTAAAGACCTTGTGGAAAGTCGGTCGCAAGCCGAGGTGAAACTCCGGGACTTGCAGGCCAAGCGTCGAGATGCCGCCTGAAAGAATCGCCGCGAGATTCGAGTGAAACCCAGGAGCGAAGTAGGAGGTCACACGGGGGTGTTTCCCGCTCTCGCTCAGCACGGACGCTTCAGATGCATGCGCTTTGATCTCGGTTTAAGTGAAGCCGAAGCCCAGCGATATTCATCGAGGGGTGTACACGACAGCACGCTTCCTCGTGGTGTGAAGCTAAATGTGCTCAGGTGCGCGCGACCAGCGAGGTTACGGCTTGCGCCAGTATGAAGGCCGGCATTTCTTCGGCCTGCACTTCAATTTGCAGGCCTAGAATTAGCACACTGCCCCTGTCCTGTGCCAAGACGGCGGATGTCTTGTCCCTCATTTACACAATTAGCCAAGCTCCGGAGCATTGTTCTGGCAGAAGACCAATGTGTCTCACTGCTTGTTTCTCTGTGATGTAAAGCCTTGGTCTTGAGCTTACCTTGTATATGTTCCATCGCCGTGGTCCCATGAGTCCACAGTGTAGCTTCGCAGTACGCTGGCAAAAAACCGCCAATTTCAAATTGGTAGCTGGATCTGGTAGCGGAGCTGGTACCCCCTCGGTGGGACCAGCCGAGTGGATCTTAGTACCATAGGATCGTCGGGCTTGGGCGAGCCTAGTATATTGACCCATTGCATCCCCCATTGAATTCTCCGTGCCATTGATCTTCATCGTAAACTTTATCGACAATGAGCGTAGCAGGTCTACGTTTCTCCCGCAGTGCGGGCTCGAGTACTCTTCCTAGAGCTTCCGTTGGCATCTAAATTTGTGTGCGCAAATTTTTGCGTACACAGGGGCCTGCTCTGAACCAGTAAAACCCGAAAGCGCTCAAACATACAGAAAGTGCACGCACACACCTGGGATGTGGCTGATCTTTTCAACATTCGGCACACGACGATCAGCTGAAGTGGATGGCATGCTGCTGTTTGTACATCATAAGGGCCTTTGTGATCGTCCTATGAGCCCGTCGCGACAGACGCGAAACTCTACCGACATAGTCATAGTCTTCGTCTGTCCAGCAGGCCCAGCCTCGGATCGAGATGCCCAAACATATGTATGATTTCAAATGCATTGGGTTAGCTGATTAGATCGATCACTTGGACTAATATTCATTGACGAAGTGCACCCAAGGGCCTCAGGGTATTAAAGATGTGTGCCGCACCCAAATCCAATTGCTGCTGTAGTTGTGCCCTGCAGGGTGTGGTAGCACACCGGGGTTAGGGTTTAGGGCTTAGGTTTGATAGGGTTTAGGCTTAGGGTTTAGATTTTCATGCATCTCCAAACTTCGCCCGAGAAGTTTCCGGGTGCAGCATAATCACACCAGGTGAAGCAGCATATGGCATTTGGGTCGAAGTTTAAACAGGGGCATGGTTAGGTTTGCACAGTGAATGGCCAGCTGACCATACCCCTCCTTGGATGATTGAGTCTGGGGTTCCGTAGCATTAGTTTGGTCCTCTACTTGAGCCAATAACAACCCGAACCCAAAGCCATTTGTATGAACAGGACGACAACCCAGTACTATCGATCGGTATTAACTATCGGTCTTTGTTCGATCATCTATCCTAGGATCTATCTATGCATCTATCTACATGTATATGTATGTATCTATGTACATACTGCTTTAGATACAATGCCCCACCTTTAAGAAGTTATGCAACTAAATCAAATTAAAATAAATCTCCATCATTTTCCAGCCCGGTTCGACTGCCTTCTGGGCCTCTATCCGGTCCATCCACATGCCGTGAGAATACAGGGTCCTCCAATGCAGATTGACAGCCTCCACAGTCCAACGAAGAAGGCGAAATACATCTGGATGTTTGAAGTCCTCATCTGACCCCGCAGACGTATTCTAGGTCCTTGCATATTATCCGACCCCGCAGACTATATATAATTCTAGATTGGTATCGTATATTCTTCTTACAAGATCTACCCTTGCCACTTTATCCTAAACCCGGAGAATATACAAACCCTAAACCTTAGCTGAACCCTATAGTACAACATGGGTAACTCCTGGTTCATTGAGGGCTGGCTTCTGGAAGAGACAAGTATAAGTTTCGATTAGATCGATGATAATATACGGGGTTAGCCTCAATATTGCTTGGGCTTAAGGCTGAGGGTTTATAAAGTTTATTTCAATCCTTGCAGGAGGCGGTTTCAGGCTTTGGGCCTGGGGTTTCTCGAGAGGCAGCAATGACAGCTTCATCGGAGGGTTATATTGTGAATTTTCGTATAATATATCTCGGGTTTAATTTAAGGTTTATGGCTTAGGGCGTGGGGTCTGTCGGAATTTGGGTTGAGCTTAGGGCTTTGGGGGTAGGGCCAGATCAAAGAAGAAGCAGTTGCGGCTGCTGTATCGACGGATGAGAGTTCGTGCAAAAGCCAGGCGCCCACAACGGCAGTGTCGTGGCCCTTTCCACACCCAGTTGGATATTGATTCAACCTCATGGGGATCTGCTGGTTTCTCGGTAAAACCCTATACTTTAAAACCCTAATCCCAAAGTCGCTAAATAGTGCATTGGACATAACCCGATCTGATCGAATTGAATAGAGTGGCGTTTTGATCTTGAAAGCTTTCAGGGAAAATTCCGTGAGGGAGGTGCCCTTGTGGTTTTCTCGGCACCATGATTTGAAGTTGTCGAAGGCCTGGTTGAGGCGTTTTGTAATGCTACCACTACGGAAAACTCGACATACTTCAGAGATCGCTTGCAACCAAGCTGTTGCCCCATCCCTGTATTGCGTACGTATGTGCAGTGTCAGCTTGTATGGTGATAGGATCATCCAAGCCAGGAAGATCTCGTAGAGGTGATCGCTTTGCTTTGAAAGGTGTCGGAGCTACAGAATCCATGGTCCACGTTCTCACGACACTAGAGCTTCCCAGATCGTACCATTCCTATTTCACGCAGGATGGGGTCTTAACATGGTGAAGTAATATACACAAAACGGAAATAGTTTAGGATTTAGGGTTTAGGGTTTAGGGTCAGGGTGGTATATGTTTTAAGATTCCAAATTTGCTAGAGGTTCATCTCCCGTAAAAACATGGCAAATTCGGCGACTTGTGAAGACGGGCGCCAAGTGCATCGCGGACCTGAGAAACGGCCAGTCACCCTTGATGGCCACAGGTACAAACCGAAGCCGGTAGGTTCGATCACCACAAGCAACCTGAATCTCACAAGTTTGGCTTCCTCACAGCAAAATCCCTAAGCTACTTTACTTGCAAAAGGCCCACAACCAAATCCAACCAAGAAGTGTATTTAAATATGGATGCCAAGTGATCCACACTGATGCCGTCCTGGTAAAGACCCAGCCAGTCAGCAACGAGAGCTTTATGCAAACAATCGACAGTCGATTCAGCATCATACT